TAGATAGATAGATAGATAGATAGATAGATAGATAGATAGATAGATAGATAGATAGATAATGGCTATTCTAATAATAATTGTTAAATTAACATAAAGACTCAAGCACCCACATGCTTGTTCTAGTATTTTGTATCCATGCCTCAGGATGCTTGAAGTGTGGCTTGTGACCAGCGTTTACTGTCTACCGCTTGGTGTGGCCCACCCCGTGCTAACCACATCTTCACTTGAACCTACCCACAGGGTCAAAGTTAAAGGGGCCAACCAACCATCGTGGCTGGTCCAGAACTGAGGGGTTCCTGGAACACAGGGATTTCAGCGTTGAAACTAGGAACGTCCTAGGTCAACCAGGAAAGGTAGACCTCTGTAGCAAGAGTCATACCAAACGTTAGTGCTTGATGACAGCATTCTGATTACGAAGAGAAGGAGGCGTGTTGGCACGCCATCAGCCCGCAGTGCACTCATGGGACTAGAGCCCCAGGGGCAGTTTGGACACTGCTCCCGAGCTTCGGTTTAGGGTGGGTTGAGGGAATACATTCCTCACTGCAGGCAGGGCTGTCTTCATGACCGTGGGACGCATGCGCTCGCATGGGCCCTGTGCTCAGACAAGTCCTGCAGGGGGATTTAATGACCTGCTCTTGCTGTCCTGAGTACTCTCTAAGCAAAGGGCCCCACATTTCATTTTCCACGGGGCCCTGCAAACTACAGAGCCAGCTCAGACTTCTGGCATTCTGAATTTATAGAGTTCAGAGAGCAGCAGGGAAGAGATCTTCTTCCCCTCCAACATCCTTGCCACTTAAAAAAAAGAAAGTAAATCCTGAATAATTAAAGAAGATTAAGTGTCTCCTCAAGAAGCCCTGATAGCTCAGTGGATAAAGATTAGGCTGTTAGCCAAGCAGTGGTTCTCAACCTACCTAATGCCACGGTCCTTTCATACAGTTCCTCATGTGGTGGTGACCCCCCAACTATAAAATTACTTTTGTTGCTACTTCCTAACTGTCATTTTGCTACTGTTATGAACTGGGTGACCCCTGTGAAAGGGTCCTTCAACCCCCCAAAGGGATCGCAACCCACAGGTTGAACCGCTAGCCTAGAGGGTAACAGTTCAAATCCACCGGTCGCTCTGCAGGAGAAAGAGGAGGCAATCTGTTTCCATCAAGACTCACAGCCTCCCCATTCCCAGAGAGCAGTCCTCGCCTGTCCTACAGAATCAACATGAGTCAGCGTTGACTCAAAGGCATTTGGGTTTAGCTGGGTTTAGTATTTGGGTTGACGTCCCCCTTGATCGAACCCCTGGCAGGCCTTAGAAAGTTAGAAGTCAAACATGATCTTAGCCAACCTGGTTTCCAAGCACATAGAGTTCAGGTAGGGAGAGAAGACCCATGCAATGGGCACTGCCCAGACAGGGAACATGGGAATGTGAAGACCCCAGACACACTCAATGCTGGCTCACCCCACACCCCCAACCACCACCATGGGTTGCAGAGACTGGCACTGTTGATGGGCGTAGAAACCCAGGCTCTTTCAGTTACCATCCTGTGGTTGGTTTTCAGATCCTCAGACCAGAGAATCACAGTGCATTTTCAGATCCATTGTGATCTGAGACCTTACTCTGTGTATGATTTCCATGCTGTTGCATATTTTAAGGTGCACTTTATGGCCCAGCAGGTGACTCTTCCATGTGATTTTTGGGAAGAATATGTATTTGGCTCTGCTTGGATTGTGTGTTCTCTGAATGGTCATTCGATCCACTTAACCAGGCTCTTTAGTTCCAATGTAGCTTCACTGGTTCCCTGCCGGCTGGAGCTGGTCATTATTGATGGAAAAATGTCTTAAGTAGCCCACAAGGAGAGTGGAATTTTCTGATTCCTTAAGCAGGTCTGCCCATTTTTGTGTCACATGTTTTGATGGGCTGTTGGGCACATTAAGGATTGTTATGCCTTTCTGAAGAACTGGCCCCTTGATCGCCACCGAATGCCCTTTTTAATCCCTGATAATTCCCTTGCTCGTAAGTCTGCTTGGTCTGAAATTAAAATAGTACAGTAGATTTCTTGTTACGAATAAGTAACAGGCTATATCTTTCTCTGTCCTTTTCCTTATCATCTGTGCCTTTATATTGTACATTTCTTTATATTGTACATTGTACACTGCTGTATAATGTATTGTTTATATTGTATATTGTTTATATTGTATATTGTACTGGGTTTCATTTCAACACCCCAGAGCTGCTCCACTTTCCCCAGGCTCCACCTACCACCTGGACATTGGCTAAAGCCTTTTTTTTCCCCATAAAATGTCTTGTTCAGGAGTGTGGGACCTTTTTTTATGCCAAAGGTCATTTGGATATGTATAACATCATTTGCAGGCCCTACTGGCCAACTACTTCATTAACTCACTCCTCATGGGATGGCGGAAGCCCTGGGAGGTGTCGTGGTTCCTGGTCAGTTGCTAACCAGGAGGTCAGCCGTTCGAAACCACCAGCGACTCCGCGGGAGAAAGACGCGGCTTCTGCTCCCGTAAAGAGTTACCGTCTCGGGAACTTGAGGGGCAGTTCTACCCTGTCCTATCGGGTCGCTGTGAATCAGCATCAACTCAATGGCAGCGGGTTTGGGGGTTTTGGGCACGTGCTGGCTGGAACCGCGTCTCCTTGGTGAGGCCTGTGATGTCAGCTGATAGGAATGATTTCCGGGGACTTAAAGAGCCCACTGCTGGTAGACTCTCAACTAGCATGTGACAAGCCACCAGGAAAGAACAACACAGAACTAACGGAGCTCTCTCCTTTGCCTTCGCTCACCAGGGAGTACTCGGTGGAAATGTACTATCGGAACGAGTCTCAGCATGAGCCGTATCCCCTCACGCTGCCAGGCTGCACCCACAGCTGTCCTCTGGAGAAGTTTGCTGAGCTCCTTGCCCCTATCATCACTGACGACTGGGATGGGGAGTGCATGACCACGGCGGTGGCGGACCACCAAGGTATTGAGGATGTTACATATTAGTGCTGACGCAGCGTTCTGCCCCGAAGGCAAAAAAAACAAAAAAAAACAAGCCCATCTTCCCAAGGACAGATGTTGCTAGGAGAACACTCCTTGGCTGCTGCCTCCAGCTTTGAGGGAATTGCGTTCTGAGTCATTGTATTTCAGGGAGGCGACTTCTACCTAGCTACTGGACCCCGTCTCCATTTGCCTTGACTTGGTTTTATGTTTCAGTGTTAACTTAAGGGGGTGTCTGTGCCCGAATAGAATCCAGGATTGATCTTGGGTTACAATTCCTGAGGGTATCATGACCCACGGGATTGACCACGCACACTTTAATCACAAGATCGTTCTTCGGAAAGAGGGGTTTGTCGTGTATTTGACTCCTGACAATCTCTCTTATCAAGAAGTGCTCTCTCAAAAAAAAAAAACACACCCCAAACCAAAATACTGTTTGCGGGAGAGCTATTAGCTTAAACGTACCTCAGGAATGTTAGTTTGGGGTGCCTGTGGAAGCCGCTTGCTATTTAAGAACTCCTCGATTTTGTCTCAGCAGGATTGTGGGAGGCGGTTCTCTGAGTAAGGTTGGTTACTTCTCAGGAGAAGAAGGAAGCTTCCTACGCCTTTAAAGATTGACAGCCTAGGAAAGCGTCCCTCAAAGGGCAATTCTACTGTTTGACAGGGTCACTCTGAGTCAGAATGGACTCGATCGCGGTAAATGTAACGGGTTTTTGTTGTTGTTGGGTCCTTGAAGTGTCTAAAGTGAAGCAGATGTCAGACCAACCGCATGATCTAGGGTGAGAACAAAACGTTATTCCTAGACCAAGGTTGCCTGTGGGTTCCCGCCTTCTCACCCAAAGAGGCAAATGCATGAAACATGGTGCAAGGGCTTAGGGAACTATTTTAGGCTGAAAACTTGATCTCATTTTGACATTTGTATTATATACATATTCAGTAAAAAATAAAGGCCTCATGGGATTCTTTGACCCTGAAACAGTCCATATTCCTTTTGAATCAACCACAGTCAAACGTGACAGAAAACCCTGCTAGACATCTAAAACCAAACTCACTGACATCGAGTCGATGCCGGCTGACAGAGACTCTGTAGGACAGGGTCTAAGACTAATTCTTTCCAGAATAGAAAGTTCCATCTTTCTCCTGTGGAGCAGCTGGTGGTTGTGAACCGCTCACTTTGCAGTTGGCAGCCCAATGAGAAACCACGATGCCACCAGGCTCCTTTGATATACATTATATTGCATATGTATTAATATAATATATTATATATGACCATGATGTAATGCATGTAGCAGCTCTTAGAATAAGTATCAGACATATAACTAGCCTGATAAGAAGATGCTCTGGCCCAATGCCCTGAATGAGCAGAAGTTCTTTCAACGCTCTTATGGTAAGAGATGTTGAATCTTAAGTTGATTTAAGAGAGGAAATTAGATGAAACAGATTGAACTGGAACACAACTGGAAAATAAACATGTTCCAGAGGCCTCCGACAGACAAACGTACAGGAATGTTAAGCACGTGCTTCTCAGATCTGTTTGGAAGACAAAGAGAATACATACGGCATTGGCTTGCGTCTCTTCAGAAAAATCCTACGCAAGCCCGCGGGTTCTGATGAAACTGCTCAGGGTCCATGACATCATCGGGTTGAGGGTCTTTAGAACCCTGTCGATTGGCTCGGTGGTGGCAAGGACACATCTGAAGAGCATCCCAGTCGAAAAAATAAAAATAACAACTCGCTGCTCTCAGTCAATGTGGACTCAGGCCACCCTGGAGGCCAGGGTAGACCTGCCCCTGTGAGCTGCCGAGACTCCAGCTCTTTACAGGGCTGGAAAGCCCCTTTCTCCAGTAGAGCGGCTGGTAGCTGTGAACTGCTGACCTATGGTTAGTAGCCTAACGAGTAACCACTATTGAGTTAACTTCTCAGAGCTGCCTTAACAAAAATGTTACGGGCGTGTAGTTTTAGGGAACAGAATTTCCTCACCGTTTAGAAGGCGAGAAGATCAAATTCAGGGTTCTGGGGACGATTCGCTCTCTGTTGGCTCTGGAGAAAGATCCGGCCTCCAACATATATTTTGGGAGGAGGAAATTCAAACCGCGCCACCGTGCTCCATGAACATGAAGGATAAAGAGCGAAATGCCCACAAAGGATTTCTCCTGGATGTCAGAAGCTAAGCCAAGCCAGACACAGGGTGACTGACAGAAGACACAGACTGATGTGCTTATTCTTGAAGAAAATATTTGGTATTGGAATTATAATCGAACGATTCTTTTCTCTTTTTTTCCAGCAAGAAGCCAAATATAAGATAGCGAATAAAGTCATTATTGGGACGTTCAGAAGCATTACTTTCATAACAAAATTTTTAAAGCATTTCAAAAGAAAAATTCCTGCCGAAAAGACTTTAGGGCTATTGTTTTCGTTTGTTGTAGTTTCATTTTAATATAACAAGAGGAAAGCTATTAACCTTAAGTAAAATGTTGGGCCAAATCAAGTGAGCGTTTTATAATTTTTTCAAAAATACACTTAATTTGGATTTAATAGTTCAGATAAAGCCTAAGCTGTTGGCTGTCTCTCCCTTACTGGTTAAGATGGGACAAGAAGCTCGCTCTGAATTTGGAAAGTAGAGAGAGGCAGAACATGTAGAATAATGATGGTTATGACTTATGGCTATGTAGATTACAATGGGAACAAAGTTTTCTGGATTTTGAAGGAAAATCAGGGAATGCTTCCTTTAGAAGATGGCAACTGTCCCAGGTGAAATCACTCTGTAAGGAGGTTTCTCACAGTGTATTAAGATGCCACACAAGACACTTATCAGAAACCCGAGTGGCTTGAAGCTGGATGGATGGATGGAGAAGTTACTACGTAGTAGAGTCAGGGACCAAAGACATTCCTACAGGTTTCACTGAGGGGACCAATTATTTTACTGTGTGTATACATATATGTCATGTTATGTGGTGATAGGGCTAATATATATATGCCACATAAAACTTGCTATTTAATCCAGTTTTGAGTGTAGACCTCGGTAACATTATTAACTATATTCACAAGGTTGTATAACCCTTACCTCCATCTATTTCAATGTATCCATCACCCCAAACGGAAACTGTATATATTGGGTGCAATAGCTCGCATTGTGTCCTACCTCTAGCCCCTGATACCTCCATTCTGTCTCCTGTCGCTAGGAATTTGCCGACTGTGGGTATTTTATGTATGTGGAACCTGTTCAGTCTTTGTCATTTTGTGTCTGTCCTTTGGTGTCGTTTCTTAACACGATGTGTAAGGGTTCATCCAGCCTGGAGCATGTATTAGAATTCTGTACTTTTTATGGCTGAATAATATTTCATTGTATGTAGACACCACATTTTGCTTATTCTTGCATCTCTTCACAGACCGCTGGGCTGTTTCCACTTTTTGATTATTGTGAATTTGGTTCTTTGGCTAACGCTGCCATGCCGGTGCCCGTGTGCCTGTCTGAGTCTCTGTTTTCAGTGTGTTGGGGTACATATGTGCACGGGTGAAGAATTCTGCCTGTTATGTCTTAGGAGCTGTACCTGGCATGGATTGGCGCTCAATAAATATTTGCTTATAATTAAGTACCAACTAGTAACTTTTCCTCTCTCAATCTACTTTTCTCCGTCTCGGTTCACAGCCACGTTCAGTAACCTAGGAGCCACTTTGATCCCACCTTTCCATTCATCCCCAAGTCTCGTCTGTCACCTCTTCTCATCGTCTGCCTGTGATACATTCATAAAGCTCTCTTCTTTCACATGACCAACGTCATCAACTCAATATAAAAATATAATTAAGCACCAAGACTTGTTTTCTTAAAATAAAATAAGGAAAGAAGAAGACGTAGGGTTTGGTGTGCAGGTCCCAAGAGCAGAATGAGGCAGCTCTCCCAACACTGAGCTCAGTGATTTTACAGTTTGAGATTGGTCACATTGGGAGTATTGTCACCTCAACGTTCTATATCCAAATCAACGTTCTATCTCACACAGGTGGCTTCCCAGCCTACCACTTAACAAGCAGGCTTGTTAAGAGGTAGCCCCTGAAAAAGTGCCCTCAATATTTATACTTTGTTGAGGAAAACAGAGTCCATTTGTTCTCAATGAGTATGGTCTAAAAGAATAATGCTAGGACAGAAGGTGAAATTCCAACATACCAACATGCCTGCTTATTTGGCCTCTGGTTTTAGCACAACTCTTTTGTCATTCTCGTGTTCCCCCGCCGTTGGTGAGAGCCCCTGTTCAACAGTGTTCCTTCCAGCATCCATCCTCCCTCAGAGAGGAGGTCATCTGATTGGAGGATCATTTCATCCTTGTGGCTACAATCCCTATTTCCCAGGATATCCAAACCTCATCCTTGGTTCAACATTTGGGGACTTGCTTTGGTGCACAACAAATCCCTCCTCACTCCCACCCCTGCTCACAACCTAGTCAGTCCTGACAGCCATTGCCATGACTGATACCTGGCCTTCCCACCAGACCAATGGCGAACCCCAGGCTTTCCTTTCGTGGTCTGCTGACGAGAGCTGATGAAAACAAATGGCTAAGCATATGGCCACCGTTTCAAAAGATGTGTGTTCGTGTTTCTGGTCCCGTCTCCGTTCTGTCTTTCAACACTGTGTGGTGAATGTATACAATCTCACTGGGCCCCTTTCCTACTTTCTCTATGAAACCCTTCTTATTTCCCCCCCTAAATGCCATCTTGACTTATTTATTCTTTTTAAAAAAAGGCTTGATAATAGTAAGGCAATTATTAAAAGATCTTTTAATTTCATCTCTTGCCACTTCAAAATACCTTTAGTAGCTTTGACCTGCCTTCACTGTGGACCCTCAGGAAAGCACGTTCCGCCTTAAGAAGCCAAACTCTTCTCCTTCTCCTTGGGCATTGGGTCCCCTCTTTGCCATTTCTTCAGGTCCCCAGGGAATCTTTGAGTTAGCCTCATGGGCTGCCTTGGCACTGACTCCTTCCCATCTGCTG